CATGATGACCCTTCACTTTATTGGTGCACCATTGCCCACTGACTCAAAGCAGGATCCAATACCAGCACCCCGTCGGGCCGTGCTGAAACAATGACGCCGGACTGGTCTGTGGCTGAAGTGCAGGAATTCGTGCCTCAGGGCTTCGATACTACCCACATGGTAAGGCTGCACCTTCCCAGTGAAATTACAAACAAAAAACCGAAAATAAAATAAATTCCCTTGTCCATGCAATTCACTCTTCTGCTTTTTTTTAACCCCACACCCTGCCATTCTGCCTATATAAGAATTCCTGTCGACAAAGTTACCGAAACTATCGGTAGTTGGCATCGTGCATTTGTTAGATTAGGCAACTCTATTGCTATCAAAAATGCGGGGTGTTTGGATGGACTGCGGCTACCTGCCTGCGACCATCTATACCTCTCCCATTTGTCAATTTCCACCAGAATCGACCCCCTCTACGGGTCCTTCTCCTTATACCTCGACTAACGCACGTTCCCAGGCCTCTCTCCAAGGAAACAGTAACGGTGGCGTTCCTTCGACGAGCCCATTTGATCCTTTTGTGACAGCTTCGAACCCCCTTTCCGCTGCGAGTGCGGTCGGACCAGTCCAGGCAAACCCTTTTGCACATGATACTGCGGCGGCTGCTGCTGCGCTGGGCGGCGCCTTTTTCGCCGGACAGTCTGGCTTCCAGCAACCAGTAGGTCTCTAGCCACTTGAAACTGCGGGCTTGTCTTACATTATCATCCTTGTTGCAGGTCCAGTATCATTTGTACGCTCCTATTGGCCCTCATAGCCAAAACACTCTGGGTTACCAACGGAATGTTCATGATCTTTTCCTTCCCAATGACTTCCGGGAGGAACTGCAGAAGAAAGCCGCAGCTACACTACAAACCTTGCCAAGTATGTCGATTCCATTCATGAACCATATCCAACGGAACTGACTAGAAGCCAGACACCCAACTACCCGCTCAAGTCGATTACTTCCATTCCCTTGTCCCATTGGACTTAAATCATCAGAAGAACGCAACCATTTTTGGCTTCCCCAGTTGGGTATACAAAGCGCAGTCCGGCAAAGATGGTAATTTCTATGCTCTTCGAAGACTAGAAGGTGAACTCCTCTTCTATTGTTGTTCTGAAAAGCTTCCAGCTGACTCGCCCTCAAGGTTTTCGCTTGACAAATGAGAAAGCGATCCGATCGGTTCAGGCGTGGAAACGAGTTTGTAATGGAAGCGTAGTAACGGTCCACGATGCGTTTACCAGCAGGAGCTTCCAAGACAGCTCGCTGATCTTTGTCACTGACTACCACCCTCTCTCCAAAACACTTGCCGAACAACACTTGGGTGCTGGAAATAGGTTTCAAGGTCGGCATAATACGCACATTCCGGAGCAGGTCCTGTGGGGGTATATGACCCAGATCGCAAACGGCCTCAAGGCCATCCACAGCAACGGGCTTGCCGCAAGGATTCTTGATCCCAGTAAAGTTCTCGTCACCGGCAAGAACCGCATTCGCCTGAACGCCTGTGCTATCATGGATGTGGTCCAGTATGATACCCAGCGGTCAATCGCAGACCTCCAACGCCAGGACCTGGTTAATTTCGGGCAACTCATTATGACTTTGGGCGCCAATACGCCCAGTGTCATGCATAACCCCACCAAAGCTATGGAGCATTTCACCCGTGCTTACAGTCCACAACTCAAAAATTCGGTGTTCTGGTTGCTAAATGGACTGCAAAAGGATCAAGACCGAAATATTGACATCTTCATAACTGGCATTTCTTCACAATTAATGTCAACATTCGACTCGGCGCTTCATATGGACGATGAACTGACGTCGGACTTGAGCCGGGAACTTGAGAATGGCCGTTTGGTCCGTCTGGTGACCAAGTTGAACTTCGTCAACGAGCGGCCGGAGTATGAGCACGACCGGCAGTGGTCAGAGAACGGGGAGCGATACTTCCTCAAGATGTTCCGCGACTACGTTTTCCATCAAGTTGATGCTCAGGGTGACCCGGTCGTGGACCTTGGTCATGTGCTTTCCTGTCTGAATAAGTTGGATGCGGGCACCGATGAGAAAATCACCTTGGTGAGTCGCGATGAACAAAGTTGCTTTGTCGTTAGCTACAAAGACATCAAGAAAGCATTGGAGTCGTCATTTCAGGCGCTCCTGAAGCCAACCAGAAGGCTTCATTAAACAGCCCTACCGAGGGCCAATTCCATGATGGATTCTTTCCCACGCAGGGGAGACTACTTATATATGCGGAGGGAACTAGGTTAAGGAGATATCTCGTATGAAATGATCTGGCGATGTCTTTGCACATGGTTCTTATTTTGGAGGATACATTTTTAGAAACCTGCTCTCAGAAGACTGAGTCTCACGGCCGACTTACCAATGCTTTATCTGTGCGGAAAGCTGGAGTCATACAAATCTCCGTGTTGATTTTATTGCAACCTGGCAACTGATGTTTGCTTGCTTTGAAAATATGATGCCATTGATATACGAACGAAGATACAGATGCAATTGATTACAGACATATCACATTACTGGAATTGACTCGGTAGACCTAGCATGTAGGTCTTTATCTCGTAGAGCCAACTTTTGACATCCTAAAAGTAGTTCAGTCTAAACGATACTCGAACCCAGCAAACGACTCCCAACTACAAGTCAAACGCATGAGCCCACAATTCCACCCCCTCATTGTAATCATCATGATCATCGTCCACCCACCCCGCAAGCCGCTCCTTCAGATCCTCCACCGTCAACTCCTCGTTCCACTCATCCCACTCCGCCGCCACCTTCCTCGGCGGAACCAACACCTCATCCACAATATGTACATTGCCATCCCGCCCCAACACATCCGCAACCGCCACCCGCTGAAACCCATTAACCTTCAACGAAGCATACGGTCCAAACCGCGCCACATCAACCCTCAACCTCCTCTCCCCCAACAACGTCGGCAGATCCAAATGCGTGAACCCCTGGACTCCAAACGGTCGGACCTCACCCTTCTCCGTGTAAATGACATCTGAGTACAGCGTCCGGTCCGGAACAATATGGTACTTCAGCAGCGCGAGGAGGTATTTCTGGCCGTAGGGCGAGAATAAGAAGGCGTTGATCTTGAGGCCCAGTTTGCCGAAGGCTGCGTTTGAGGGGGCGAAGATCGTGTGGCCTTTCTTGTTGCCATCTTGGTCTTTGTTTTCAGGGATGGTGAGGTTGGTTTTGAGGATGGCGAGATCGAAGGTGCTGAATTTTGTGGGAACCAGGTCGAGGAGCGTTTTGGTGGTTGGGGGTGGGATGAGGAGGCTGGATATTCCGTGGATGAGGCCGTTGGTGCCGGGCTGGGATTGTTAGTTTCTTCTTTTTTCTTTTTTACTTTTTGGGGTATTGGGAGTTTGATTTCGTTGAAGGGAGATGGGGCGGGTGAATGGACTTACGATATCGGGGGCTACGACCCGACTGTAGAAGTTCAGCGTTAGACCTCTCCAGCCTGCTCGGACGGATAGTCTCTGTGGGAGCTTCTCGCCAAGTGCTGGAGCTTGCAATTCAGTCGGTAGGGTGTGGCTGTGGAAGACGGTGCGCGCGTTCCAGAGTCCCGGGACGAGGTGGTACTTGATGACGGCGCGGATGAGCTCCTTGGGTGGTTTGTGGTCATCGTGGTGTGGGATCTTCTTGAATGCGTCGTCTGTGGGCGCGAAGAACGTGTGGTTTGTTTCTGTCGAGTTGAGGAGCTGGACTAGTTCCTCGTCTTCTTTGACGAGCTTCGCCAGGATGGTGGTGTATTTGCTTTCGGTGATGAGCTCGTAGATAGTCTTGTCGGAGGGCGGGTGGTGGGGGTATAGTTGGGAGAAGGGGGGCAGTTGGGTGATGTCCTCGGGGAGGTATTCTGAGTTGCCATAGTCGTCCTCCTCGAAGTAGTCGTAGTCGTAGTCGTAGTCTTCTGTGTCGAAGAGGGGAGTGAGGGTGTTGTCTAGGTCAGTGTTTTGGATTTCGGATGCGGCGTCCAATACTGAGAGTTGGAGGAGGTAATCGTCGAGGGCGGCCTTATCGTTTGTTTCTATGCTGTTGAGGTCGAGGTCACTTAGTGCTTGTTGGGGGGTGGGAATGAATAAGGCCGAGGAGAGGGTGGCTGTTACTGCCACCGACCAGAGATGGACCCTCATGGTGATTTAGTATAGTATCACTTAGGGTGCCGAGATGAAAATGATAAGGAGATTAGGTCGTAGCTGATCAACGGGATTAGGCTCTATTTATGTTAGCATATAGGCAGCCTTCAAAAATATAATAAGCACCAGCGTTAGACTTTCCAACAAAGCCGATTGATCAGGATCCTTGAACATGCCCACCTTAGGCTGTCCAATCTGTGACGGTCTAGAGCATTCGTAATCGTATTTGTGGCCGGAAATGTGATTTAGCTCTGGAGTTCCATGACACTAGCTTACTGTCATATAAATGATGTCACAGGCTTAGCACGGTCACGCCATGAGGAACATATCTTAGTGAATCACTCTTCGTAGAACAAAGCTACGCGGGTAAATAATGCCATGGACTTCATGACTCGTGATTTCATTATTTTTATTTTTGCGTTTAACTGCTTCCGACCATTCGCTTTCAGACGCTTCATATTAACAATAGCCAAAGGCGGAGATCATACTCGGCCTTTGTGGAGACAGACTAAGACTTGCCAGGTGGGGAGCTAGCAAGTTTGATAGATAGAGGGTATGGGTAAAGAAGTAGGGTGACACCAGTTCAAGCGTGCAAAGATCAATAGAATACATTCCGCAATTGCTGTGATTGGTATCGCATGAGAGCAGGGGGACTCTTCCTGAAATCCGCAAAGACCAAAGGTGTAAGATCAGGAGCCAGGAGTGGCCACTGTTATCTGTCGTATGAGATTTCATTTACTCCTCCGCCTGGACGAAGGGGTTGGCAATCTCTTCGCTGCCATCGGCAGGTGAGATGAGCACAATGATTGTACCACGAGCAACAATCAAACCAAGAGAACGAGTGTTCTCGTTGCCCTCGTCATCTATTCACAGACCATTAGAGTTAAAGTAGAGACAATAGACAGACACCAGAGTCACCTACCGCGCATAGATTCCTTGACATCGTCGAGAACCAGGTTCATCAGTTGATCAAATCCCTTCAGGGTGCCGACGACTATGCACTGGTTAGTGGATACAGTAAAGTAAAAATTAAAAATTAAAAATATAATAAAATAGAAAGCCGATATGACAGGAGTGGACCTACCCTCTCTGCCACCATTGAACTTCACCCGAACCTCCTTGTCCATATACTTGCTGAGGTCGAGGATGTTTTCCTTTTTGGGCTTCTCTTGCTGTTGCGCACCGCCACCGGCACCGCCACTTTTGGCATGGCCACCACGGCCGCCAGACCTGTCGTGGCCTCCGCCGCGGCCACGACCTCCACGGAAAGATCCTCGTTCGGACATGCTTGGCTGGGACAAAGTTTTTTGATTTTGTTTTTTATTTTTTCGGGTTTTTATTTGTTGATTTATTTTCCTCGGTTATATTATAGAGAGGGGAAGAGATAGTAAGACAAAAGAGAGGGGAACCGATGAGGGGAATTGTCTAGAATTGCAATGGAGTGGGTGCGTGGTGAGAGAGACCGGATCCCACTGTGGACTTGGTTGGTCCGTCAAATTGCAGGAAAGGATGGGGTGGAAGGGGGACGGGGTGTATGAGGGATTTTCGAGGAGGGGGCCGATTCAGTAGGTCAGCGGCAAGAGAACAAATGTACTGTGCCTCTGTGGTTCAACAATAATAGCAGCAGTAGTAGGTCAGCGGCAGGTAAGGTAACCGTGAGAAAGGAACCTTGAAGTCACGGGAACAGGCCTCTGAACATCACTGGGAAGGAAAAAACTCTGAGAACACACACAATTGCTGCGCGTCACACGGCCCACGGTGACCATACCTTACTCCCATCCCGTACTAGCGTGTATGAAATCCAGTCCACATGGGTGGTAAAAGGACAGTGGAGTGGACGGCCAGTCGACCTTTACCCAATGGAGGTTGAGCTTAGGCAACACCCTTACGGGCGGAGCGGCAAGTTGAGTTGGTCTCGGAGGGGACCTTTCCATTTGTACCAGTTTCCTCCGTTTGGTGTTGGTGCGCCTCGGGAGTTATACCTCAGAGAAAAGATGGGGACAAAACAGGTTTTTGTTACTCCGTCCTGTCTATTAATTTCGAAGAATTTCAATATTAAATAAACCTCGTCACGAAAAACCCTGGAATTTGAGGTTGTCATTGCCCGACCAATCGGCCGGTCATGCAAGGGGTTTCAGAACCAGTCCCTAGATTGGTATCTTTCCTCCTATCTGATATGAATTGATGCAATCAGAAGGGATCATAACATAAGCCCCATCAAAACTTCGGGAAAATAGCGGTATATCTTTTCAACACTAGTGTTAAAATTCCTATCCGAAGCTAATAATAATAATCATGACGATAATCATACTCCGAATAACATTGTACTCGGGAGTAAAAGGCAATCTCTCAATAATGAGATCTCTTATCATCAGTCAGAGAAGAAATAAAAATGGCTCAAGATACTCTCCTAGGCTGCCAGTAAGATCGAGTACCAAGTAGAACACGGGTATGGATGGTGACGATTCAGTTCCGAGCTCCCGGGCCACACCGAATGGACGACGGCGGAAGAGACCGGCGGGACTCCGCCCGCTACGTGCTTGATTGCCTAAGGCGCTAAGCTGCGACTTCTACGTTGTCTGGAGTCTTGACGGACCGCGACTAAGAGGGATCGGGTTAGATGAGACTTTCAGGATCGCCCAATCCCCCGGCTGTGGGTTCGGGTCCATGCAATCCAGCCATTCATCGTGTCCCACTCGGCATCATCGAACCTTACGGGAGGGGAGGAAAAAGATTGAAGGAAGAGAGCTTTTGCGTCCGTTCCGCTCGCCGTCAGCAACCGCACCGCCGTTGGGAGTGTCATTGGGTGTTTTGTTTCGCTGATGTCCTTTTCCCGGTGCTTTCACTGGATGAGAGTTGTCCTGACTACTATCTTCCATTCCAAGTCAGGAACGGAAGTGATTGGGTTGAATGACATTTCAACCCCCAGTCACACCTCAAGATAACCAATATTGATTGAACGAGCGCGATATTTTCCAGGAGAAACTTAACCTACCCAACGGCTATTCCGTTCCGTCCGCTTTTTTTTTTTTTTTTTTTTGGCTCTCCAAATTAACCCCCCCCCCCGTGAGCTTCCTCCTCAGTGTCCGCTCTCCCTTTTCCCTCCCCAACATTATCTCTCTCTCTCTCTGTGTTCTTCCTCCCTCTCCTCTCCTCCCCTTCCGCATCTCGGTGCGCGTATCATAGCCTGTTCATTGCTCGCTTTCTCTTACTTTCTCTTCCTGTATTTTTTTCGACTTTTTCCCTGAACCCCAGATTCGTTGGGGTACCTCCTTTGTCATTACCTAACTTGAACGGGCACGAGTGGCTGAACCTCAACCCGCACGCTGGAGCCTGAGTTCCTCCGCCATCGGCTGCACTTCTTTCGTCCACGTTCCCGTTACTCAATCGCCTTGGAATCGCTTAATAATTTTCCCTTTGCGCTTCTGACGCCATCCTCCACGAGTCATTGCCGCAGTTGTTTTCTTTTCTTTTTCTTCTCTTGGTGTATTTATTCAATCTGCTGCGTGACTCGTGCGCCTTGCCGGCTCACTTTCTCTTCCGCACGCCATGGAGTCCAGAACAGCGACGGCAGAGCCGTCCAGCAAGCGACCTCGATCACCGTCCGGCGATTTCCCTCCCATCGCTTCCAAAGTCCCGAAGACACATTCGAACCACCTGCAGATCAACTACCTGGCGCGTCAGTATCCGGATAATCTTCCTCTGGTCTCCATCGATGATACGATGCCCGCAATCATTCACCTGATCGGTGAATATGACGGTGTCCTCCATCGTCATGAGAGTATCGCTGGGAATTTAGGCGCATGCCCTTTGGGGCCCATCTTGATTAAGCGCTTTGAGCGCCTTTTCGATGGCCCTCCCCGCGTACTCAAATCGCACGGCAAAGACTCTCCCAACATTACCTGGCTAGACGTAGTGGAGTTCGCCAAGAACAAGCCAGAGCAGTTCAATCTGGAGAAGACCCGCAATGGTGTGCGAGTCTGTCAATTCTATACCAAGCAGTGTCGGGTGGAGATCAGCGAAGAAGACTTCGTGCTGATCGCATCGGGAATGCCGCAGAAAATGATCCCCCCGCAGCCGATTATTGAGGATGAGGAGAAAGAGTTGGGCGCGCTAGAGATTTTGGAGAAGAACCTCCAACAAATTATCCAGGTCGCAGACCAAGGTGAGTTTCCATGCAAAGCGATGTGTATGGCTACCGGCGCTAACCGCTCGCCTCTTCTAGTGTCCGCGCGAGCGAGACAACTCAACCATCGTCTCAAAAACCGAAGAACGGCGATTGTCACCCGCCGAGAGAATGATTTATCTCTGCATTCGCAGTCGCAATCACAATCCCAACAACAGCAGCCACCACAGCAACAGCATCGCTCCATCAGCCCCGTTTGGCGCGACGCCAATGGAAGTCAGCTTCCGCTGAACGGCAGCAGTCACTCGAACACCCAGTCTCCCTCCGCTGGCTTCGTTGCGGTTAACACCGGCCGGCCCGGTGGGGAACCCACAACTGAAGACAATGCGCTGTCGCAACAGTTCATGTTCTCGCACTCCAACACAGATAATGTTACTATCATCAACGGGACCTCCATCAAAGGCGCATCTCCGACAACGCGCGCGGAGCTGATGAAGAAGTTCTTCACTACCCAGACCGACAATCTCGCAGCTATGAAGAAGGGACCGGATCCCAAAACCGCCAGTCATCCCGGCCACGACCGCGAGCATCTGATGCGACAGAGTACAATATGTACACCCCCGCCCCAGCTACCGTCGCAATCCCCAACACTCCGTCGTCGCTGCTCCCTCCACCCAAGTCCCACCACCATGAGAAGGACGACGGCGGTCCGTTCAAGATGGAGATGGTTGCCCGCATGGAGGAGCTGCAACGCGGCGAACGCATACTGCCCCCATGTGATAGGTGTCGTCGCCTCCACATGGATTGCTTGAAGAACCTTACAGCATGCATGGGTTGCACGAAGAAGCATGCCAAATGTTCTTGGAAGGACGTCAAAGCGGAGGAGCTACAGGAGGCACGGGAGCATCGTGAGCCACGCCCCGATCCAATGGCACGGGAGCGACCAGAGAGTTCGACCCCGAAAGAGTCCTTACCGACGACCACAGCACCGGCACCGATGGCGCCATCTATCTCTTCCGCACCCACACCCCCTTCAGCTGTAGTGGTACCCGAAATCGATCGTCATCGAGAGATTGAGTACAACGTGCGCAGGGAGTCCGCTCCAACAGCGGGTCCCATACACGGCACTTCACTCGGAAAGGAGCCGTCGCCCCGCCGGGCGATGAGTGAGATCCGGGGGGGCTCCTTAAGTCATGACAGGCATATCGGTATCAACCGCAACACCAACCCAGCCGCAGAGGATGATGACCCGGATGCCAATCAACGGCTGATGCAGGCAATCCTCGACACGGTTGACCACCATGCGCGAGCTGCAGCCGCCGCAAAAGAGGGTGGGCAACCGATGACTGAGCGTGAACGCGAGCAAGAACGAGACCGAGACCGGAAACTGGTGAAAGCTTAGTTTCCTCTCCCCCTTTTCTTACTGTTTTGTCCTTGCATTTTTGTGGGAAATTCATGTCATGTAGCATGGTTGTGGGGGTTTATAAGGGTGTTATCTAATGTGTGCATGGTTTGTACTGCTTTGAGCGTTTTAGCGGATATCCCAGTAGTTTAGTTCATCTCTTCTTGTTAGGCATGGTGCATATATGAACAGATTGGCATGATTCTTTGGACAACACAGCATTTACTATATAATATATCAGAGCTCTAGCAGGTTTTGCACGAGCTATACATCCCTTCCACGTCTTTATTCAGTCACTGAAATTCTACCGTGCTTAAATTTAGGATGCTTATGTTCTAGAATACGAGGGGTGGGGTGCCAGATCTGGCTCCCGCAGCCCCATCTATACATACACTGTCCCGCCTGTTGTCAACAGGATCAGTGATGATCAGCCCATTGCCAACGAGACCAAAAGAAGAAAAAGATTCTCTTCAAGCATTATATGACCATTCTCTTTGTCAATGCCCGCCTGCAGAAAAAAAAGAAAAAAGGAGGGGGAAGAAAGAAAGAAAGACAATGCCCCGCTCGCCACCCCACCTCCAGCGTTCCAGCGCCAAATCTACACGAGGATCTCAAGGCCGAGATCAACGAGGGCGTTCTCGCTATATATACATCGCAACTGTCGATTGCAGAGAACTTCTGCAATGCCCAGGTGCTCTGATTACCTCAAATCATGCCATCGATCTGGTTGATAAGAGCGATATTGGCGGCAAGATTGCGTTGGTTATCGGTCGTCAATCCAACGCAAGCAATCTTAACATGTAGAAGAGGGCTTGGCTTCGCTCTGCTGATCTTGTCTACAAGGCTTGTTGGGTCTTCTCATCCTTCGACCCCCTGGCAAGCTGATAAAGGAATTGTCGTGGAGCGGACCTATGTTCCGGAGTTAATCGGCGAAGATATTCGTCTGAGCTCTGTGATAGCGTTTCAATTGAAGGAGCTATGCTTTGATCGCTGCTGTTTGTAGGGCCTTTTTATTGCTGACCATTGGGATGATGCTCTTGATATATCTGAACTTGTCGAGGCATTTTTGGAGAAAACTAGATTGTTTTATTTGACGCATACATGCGTCGGAAAAAAACAGTCAGCTAATGCACATATCAGCTCCAGGTTCATCAGATAATCATAGTTTGTAGTTATGCTCACATATGTTCTGGTGGCGATGTACACGTTGTCTGTTGAAGGGGGTATGGTTATACAAGAGAGAGATATATATATCCTGCGGAAGAGATGTATAGTCGAACAAAATGGACTGATAACCCTTCTTTTGAAGATGAACACTCTCATTTTCACCATTGCGGGGCCCATCCAAGGCTTAGTAAAATCACCATCAACTACATGCTACTGCGGAACCATGTGATGAAAAAAAGATACTACGTAGATGTAGAAGACAGAGGGTCAAATAAATATCCCAAAAAAGAAAAAAGAGGATACAAATCAAGTATCAGACGCCAATTGGCGCTGCTGGGAATCGAACCCAGGTCGATTCGGAATTGCGGAATTACCACAACGAAACGTGATCACCACTACACTACAGCACCTTGATTTGTTGAAAGGCTGCCTTTTTTACGAGATTATAAGGCTAGCTGCTACCTACGAATCGCGTCAAACATCGGCAATGTCATTAGCCGTTGACTTTGTGGGAATGAACCTATTCCCCACAATCCGATGACGCTTCGACCGGGAAAGTGGGGGGAACATATTGATCCGTTTTTTTGGACTACACAGTAATCAAAAATCAGTCCTTTGCACCCGCCTCTTATTGTTTGAACCAACATCGTTTACTGGGTGGTAGTGTGTAGATGAAGTAAAGAGTTACTGATCCAAGATTCAAATGCACCCCGGATATACGGCTTAATGCATCGCCGTCGATCCGCGGGGTATTCCCGACAACATTCCCATCTCACCCACCAACAATGTCCACATTGCTAATCCATTCAGAATTCCAATGGCAATTCCCACCGGCAGATCCATCGGGGAGAACCTACACATTCCCCAGGAAGGAACAAATTCCGCGGCTTATTCAAGTCTTATACATCATGCTCCGCCCAATGCGGGGTGTGATACGCCCATCCTTCTTAAAGTATATATGGAACCAACAACTCACAATTGACAGTTTTTATTTACTCCTGCCACCCCCCACTCACTCCTAGTGATACAAACACTTCAGCAGCGAGGAATTGAAACACAAAATGGATCCCTCACAGGTTAAAATCCCACCCATGAAGGACCTCACGGTCGACAATATTACCGAAAACGTCATCCGCATTAATTCGCTGTGCGAAGACCAGCGCATGAAATATGTTCTCGAACGATTGGTTTCTCATTTACATGATTTCGCGCGTGAAACGAGACTCAGTTCCCAGGAATGGATGGCGGGGTTGATGTTCCTCACAGAGGTGGGGAAGATTTGTTCGGATGTGCGACAGGTAAGTCACTTGAGTCAAACCAAAAATGAAATACAGAAAGAAAAGCAAATGATAACTGACATGGCTGAAAAACAAAGGAATTCATCCTCCTCTCCGACGTCCTCGGCCTCTCAATCCTCGTCGACTCGATCGACCACCCCAAACCCCCCGGCTCAACTGAAGGCACAGTCCTCGGACCCTTCCACACACATGAAGCCGAAGTAATGACCCACGGCGATAGCATGTCCCACGACCCCAAGGGCGAGCCGCTCCTCGTCGTCTGTACGCTAAAAGACACGCACGGCAACCCCATCTCCGGCGTCAAGATCGATATCTGGGAGACGGACTCCACGGGCCACTATGACGTGCAGTATGCGGAGCGGGACGGCCCCGATGGCCGCTGTATCATGCGCAGTGATGATACCGGCGTGTTTTGGTTTAAGGCGATCACGCCGGTGCCGTACCCGATTCCGCATGACGGGCCGGTCGGGAAGTTGTTGAAGAAGTTGCATCGCCATCCGTATAGGCCGAGCCATATGCATTTTATGTTTGAGAAGGAGGGGTATGATCATTTGATTACGTATGTTTCTCTCTCTCTCTCTCTCTCTCTCTCTCTCTCTCTCTCTCGTCTATTTTCTATGTTCTATTCTTCTTGTTGGTTCTGGGAATTGGTGAGGGTGGCTAATGGTTGGCAGGGCGCTTTATCTTCGGAATGATCCGTATGAGACTTCGGATGCCGTCTTTGGTGTCAAGGATTCTCTGGTGGTGGATCTTGGTAAGGCAGGTCCGGAGTATGCAAAGAAGTATGGCGTTTCGGAGGACCATGCTCTTCTTACATACGACTTTGTCCTGGTTTCTGATACCGAGACCAGCGCTTTGCGCGAGCAGAACTCCAAGGTGGCGCTGGATAAACTGGGCCGCAAGGTGAAGATAGTGAACGGATTACCTGTGCCAGATCTGGATTAAATAATGAATTTTGGATGTGATGTGAGATGAATTAGTATAGTCGTCATTTACGTCGTTATGTACACTATCAATAGAGCATGGTATCAATCACCGGCACGAGGTTCAACCATATCTCCGAAATCATCCCCATCGTCGGTGGGCACAGCCGCGCGGGTAGTGGCCTCTTTTAAGCACCGCAGTCCCTCGCCGTCCTCCACCCAGCCGCCGACCTTCTCCACTCCCTCGATGTACTCCGCGCCAACCCGTAGATTTAGGCTTGCACTGAGCGCTCGTTCAACCCGGGTTTGACGGGTCTCTGAGATGAGGACTCGGAAGACATGCGCAAGAAACCCGCTCAGGATATCAACGCTCCAGTTATCTGGAACAAGCCGGAGAACCTCGTCCACATCGAACCATGACGCAAACCGTGCCAAGAGGTCACTGGTTCGTTCGATACATTCCGAGAGGTCCTGGATATGCAGGAACTCATCGAGCAAATAACCGAACAGCTCGCTCTGCTGTGCCTGGTCAGCGAACTCAGTCCGTGTGTTTGTCGAGCTGGTACTCCGAGGACCACCGAATAGACAATATCGAACTGCAGAGTCGTAGTCGCCAAGGCCATGTGTAAGAAGGTGCAAGGCTTCTCGATGACGGCCCTGGAGTCCATCGAGAATAATAGACTCCGATACGAGTTCGTTTTGGAATGGTTCAATCCGTGCGAGAACAGCAGGAATAGAATACGTTAATTTAGGGGACGGGACCGACGAGAATTGACTGCTACCGCCTCCACCAAGCAGCTGGAGAAGCCGAAGTCGCGATTGCCACCAAGGTTCAGAAGGCGTGTTTTCGTGAATAAAGTTCATATACGTTGGTTTCGGCGGTTGCAATGCACGGTAAGTGGAATATGATTCCGCAAGCGACGACCGAGCAGCAGGGGAGGTCTCAAGAACAGAGAGAACAGTATCAAGATAATATGAAAGGAGGTCATCTGCGTATTGGGTGTACTAGTTCAAGAGTTAGCAGACAGGGGGGTTAAAAAAGGAGATGAGGTAGAACCAACATTCTTTGAGAAAACCAGGTGCTCCAAGTAATCTTGAACTGCATTAGGCGCTCGTTCCTTGAGCAAGCGGACAACATCTGCTGGGTCTAATTTGACTCTGCTGGTGTTGTCCGAAAAGACCTGTATACCAAGTCTGGGGTTTCGCTGGGCCAGCCAAGTGCCATATTCTTCAACAAGCTGTGCATCTCTGATCTTGACCAAATACCTGCGCATCTGTGCCTCAACGCCCGAAGCGGTGGTCTCACTTCCAGAATCTTCCTCCCCTTCCATGATTCGCCGCCACGTCTTGAGGACATTCCGGGACATCTTTTGGCTCTGGTACAAGCGACTCAGGAGAAATAGTCGCTTGTAGTTTTCTAGAAGTGCCACTGCCCGGTCAAAGTTACCCTTCCATTTATCCACTAGCCTATTCAATTCCGTGTGCGTTCGTGAAGAAAGGAGGTGTTCCGTAGGTACCTTCGAATCTTGTTCCAGCAGCAGGTGCAGGAGGGCCGCATCGACGCTATCGAATATGTAAGCGTCGTCCGTAATGCTGCCATATCCTCGTTTTT